TCCATCCATATGACTTGGTCTTGCCGTGAGTGAGCATGAAATCTGGAATGACTAGGTGGAGTGTAGGTCAAGAAAGTGTAGTCGAATCTGAGAAGACCAATGATCCCACAAACCTTCGGGCATTGGTAGATTACTGGTTACTACACTAGGTCACGGATCCAAACCAAGATAGAAGAAATGGTCCTCAATGGTTTCAGAAAGAAGAATTCCATCTCCTATTCCAACAATTCATGCAATTTGGTGAAGCACGTGATTCAGGAAAGATAAGTGTTGCTGGGACTCCAATCCTGAATTTGCCATCCACAAGGATGAACATAAAAAATGGCATAACATTAATAGAAGGTGCTTCATCTAGTGTTCGTGGGTTTCCTCGTTGTCTTTGTTTGACCCTTTAAAAACTTGCAACCTGGGGTGCATTAAAGGAATCTTGATTGGTATCAAAATTCTCTTATTAGTGGCACGGTTACCAGGTGGACGGATATTGTCTACTTTTTTTTCTGTCATTTCCCACTTTTTGATAGTTTGCAATTCGTTATTTATCACGAAAAAAATTTGGCCCATTTTAAAAAGTATTGATTTTTTTCACACCTTTGTGCTTGAGGAACATTGGCCTTAAGAAACCCGGGGCGGAACGTGGAAAATTGTGGTCAGCACCATGGAGGGATCACCTTGGTTGGTTTGATAGGGGATCCCAAGTCTTTGTAATTCGCCCTCCCTCCTTAGAATCCTTCCCCTCCAATCCATTGCTATGACATTCAGCTCGGTAAACCTCCTTCTCTGAAAATTCCGGCGTCGAAGGCGCACCACCTGACTCAGCTGCTTTACCATCACCTGACTCAGTTTCTCAAGAACAGCTCTTTGAGTATGGTTACAAGCCTTGTTAGACTGCCCAAATAACAATATCTTCGAAGCACGTACGGATGCCATGGCGACAGCAATGAAGACGGCGATCACCGCCCCGATGACCCAAACCCATCGTCTCGGTTTTCCCTTCGTCCCAACCATTAATGCGACAAAAATTATGAGCAAAGTCTATAAATCTCAATAAAACCCTGTTTGTTCCCCGAGAAAAATGAGGAGGAAAATTCTGGGTTCTGGGTTTTTGGTTTTGGGCTCTCTGACACCTTATGGAATATCCATGTACTCGGGTGGCCCTGCTCTCTCAATGCCATATGTCCTACCTTCTGTCCCCCCAGTTTCTTCGATGCGTTATGATCAGAGGGCTGAAAGTGGAAGTGGCTTGGGCCTGCTTTCTTCTGGTAGCCTCTATGGATATGGATTTGTGTCGGTGGGAGAAAATAGCTATGGATCTATGTCTTTGTATTCATCCAAGCTATATGGAGGGTCAGCGTTGCCACCCCCTCCAACACTTGAGATGCTAGTTCCTGTGAATCGGAAGCTCTTCCGGTAACGGCAACGGAACCGGTCGGGTCACGGTGGCGACTGTTGCTTCGGGTGAAGAGCATAAGCAAGGTGGGTTTACGGCGAGGGAGCTGGATCAAGGGGCTCGACCACGGGCTTCGCGTCGGCCTCTGGGCCATGCCGCACTGCGTGGTGAGGAGCTTGAATTTCTGCAAAGTCCCCATCTTTTGGATTTGAGGTCTGTTGCTGCTACTAACTCCCATTCCTCTCTTTATATACATGTGAATTGTTGGGGGTGAATATTTGAATTTAAAATGGTGAATGATTGCAGGGGAGAAACTGAGACACGATTGATTGCTTGTGAAATGGAGAAAATGATATGTTGGGAGGTCTGCGAAAGTTTTCTGGAAAAGCTCTGGCTTTTTTTTTTTTTTTTTTTTTTTTTTGCATATCTTGCAGATTCACAGTGGAGGTGAAAAAAATGAAAGAGAACCGACACAACTTTTCGTATCGATTCCCATAGATGGCGCCAAATGTTGATGCACAAAACCAGAGGTCTTGGAACAACGTAAATCTGACCGTGAATCTGCAAGTAATGTAAATAACACAAGATGTATCGTGGTTTACCCCAAGGTTTGGGCTACGTCCACACTGATATTGTATTTCTCTGAGAGGTGAAGGGAGTGAGGGAGCTCTATAATGTGAGAGCTTTGAGAGGATGAAAGAGCCTTAAGAAATGGTCTCCTCTAATTGTGAGGGTGAGGAGTCCTTTTATAGAATAAGGACTCCTCACTTATTACATATTTGCCCATTCCTTTATCACATAATTACATTTAAATCCCTCGAGTATTTATACGAGATCTAAATATAAGGTCCTAAATATGGTATAAACAAGCAGAATAGAAGAAAAAAATAGAGAGAAAAACTGTTAGACGGGCAAGACTAAATCAAATGTGTACATACATGGGGTTGAAGAACGGGAACAGAGCGCGAGTGTGAAAGGGAATTTGATTTTAAAATAAAAGTCAGACTAAAAAAGAGTTTACAATATAAAATAATAGTTAAAATTCACACATCATCGGGAGTAGGACATGGCTATGGTAAGATAATCTTTAATCTACTTACCTTTAGTTCTTGTTTATTGCCATTTTATTCAATGTGAATATTGCTTTACGTGTTTTGATTATTTATTAATGAGATATGATGCTCGCCAGATCTTCTTTGTGAGGATCCCGGATATCCTTTAATTTTGTCATTTCATCGTACATCGTATGGTTAAAAATTATTTAAAATTGAACACAAACATACCGCAAGAAAACTGACCGCATAATGTACGATAAATAGATAGGATTAAAGGATCATTGGGATCCTCACAAAGAGGATCCAGTGAGGATCCTATCTCTTTATTAACCTATCGGTTTACATGCATGATTATCACATTAAATGAGATTATTGACATCAATGTTACATTCGTGCAAAGCAAGACAAATACTGTTGCGTTGTGTTCAAGTACTCAGTTGTGTTTAGTCTGGAGTTGTGTATATATTCAAGAGCTGGAGAAGGCCTTGGATGTAAAATTTTGAAAAGTTGTATATGTCAGGTACCATTCTTTGTTATTTTTCATGATTTAAATTCATTCAAATATTCAATCACAATTATAGGTGAAACGGAAGGACTTTCATTGGAATCCTATCTAAATTAGGACATGTGTCGCTTAAGTTGTATAGGAATTCTTAAAATCAACAGTTAAGAATAACAAGTTCTTTATTACCTAGAATAGAATAACCACTTGGAATACTAAAATAGATTATATTTGTCGAGAAGTGTAAAATCGTATGGGCGAAAAATTACACGTTTGGCTGAGTATGCTACTAATCAATTTTTACCTCTTACTCTAGTGTGTACTTCCAAAGGAAAGGACACGATGAGTATAAATACCCTCTTTAATTTCTATTCTGATTGACTAAAACAAATTATTGTGACTTGTGAAGTACAACAATGGTCTAAAGAGAGGAATGGAAGTGATTGACACATGTTGCCTTTTTTCCGTAGGTGCTCATTTTGTATGGGCTTTTAGTTTAATGTTTCTATTCAACAGGGCGTTGTTATTGGTAAGAACTTGTTAAATCCATCAATCTAGATCATCATCAAGATCAGAACTTCTTGTAAAAAGAGAGTAAATAAACAGTAGTATATATATATATCATAAAATTGATTTCTTCCATAGGATTGGGGGACCAAGCATTTTTGGAGAGCAATAAATGGGTTATATTATGTCATTTCATGGTGGATCAGCAAATTATTGGGGTGAGCTAGATTTGAACCAACGTAGACATATTGTCAACGAATTTACAGTTCATTCCCATTAACCGTAGCTTCCCATGAATTAGTGAATTAGGTAGGATCCTTTTGTATAGAATAACAAATGTACAAAATAACAAAGCAAAGAGCAAGTCAATTTTCTTAATAAGGTCGATGAATCCTTATTTTAGCCAATCCATGAGCAACTATTCATGGACATTATGGAGAAATCCTTTTTGATGGAGATACATTTGTTATATATGTTGTTTTACTAGTTTGTGTATCCCATTCATTAATTCTCGTTGACCACGCCCTAGAGGAATCATTGAATCAATAGCAATAAGTCTTGTGAATGATTTGGAATGATTTGGAAGTGACAAAATTTTCAGGTTTTGAAATTTGGAATTCTCAAAATGTCTAATGGCTGGTTTGGTATTGCTGTGCTTTGAAAAAAACCTACTTCTGCTGTGCTCTGAGAATAAGCGGCTGTGAAATAAAGCTGTAGAGTGTTTGGTAAACTTTTATATAAAAATGTTTTTGAAAAAAAAAACAGTATTATAGTGTTTGGTAAACTTTTATGTAAAACAAATGTGAAAAAAAACCGGTTTTTCAAAGCTAGGTTTTGCAGCTTCTTGTTTTTGTCTTTTTTTCACCAAAAAATGTGAAAAAAAAATTCAAGCTGAATGTTTACCAAACACATCAGAATCACCTTAGTACCAAACCAGGCCTAAATGCATTCAAATTTTCCATACATTTCTTCAAAACATTCGGATTCCAAATTTTTTGGATTCACATAAAAAAATTTAACAGGAATTGAAAATTACATTCCAACTTGCACACTTAAACATGAGAGATATTACTACTTTTTTTTTTTTTTTTTTTTTTTTTGGAGAACTAGAGATATTACTACTTTAGGAAGAAGGAAATGTCTAAATAGCGGAACACGATGAGATAAAAGAAAAATACCTTAATATTATTATTATTTTCTTAATTCAAGGGACAAGTAGTAGAATTGGTTGATTTTAACACTATGTTTGGATGATAAAAATAAATTTAAAATTTGAATAAAAGTCAGAATTTATAAATTGATATTCACAAATTCTCTTGTTTGGATTCATAAATATAGGAATTTAAAATTTCCGCGTGAAAAAAAAAACTTCGAATTTGAGACTTTGAATTCCCAAGATTAAGTTTTATGTAAATATGTGTCATTTTTCAATTTTTATGAGCTTAAAAATAATAAATTTTGTTTTCAATTCCATTATTCCTGTCACTTTAAATTCTGTTGTTTTAAAATTACTTAATAATCTTAAATTTCTTAATTTAAAGAGAAAAAGGTAGTAATTGAGTTTCTGTGAATAACCGTTCAGAACGCAAAAGCAGAGACGCCATTAGCGCAGCGCGATAACCCACTCGATCTCACCAAAAATCCTTATCTTTTGCCCTCTGCTCTGCCCGCCACCATCATCCCGAGAGGGTTTCGTAAGTATCTTTAATATCTCTCTATCTCCTTAATTTTGGTTTGAATTTCTGAATTTGAGGCTTCTCTGCCCTATGCTTTATAATTTACGTATGAAGAATTCTTTCTACTCTTGAATTGTAAAATAGGGTTGAAGTTGAATTTGATCATATTTGCATTTGGGTAATGTTAAATGTCTCAAGAGGGGGTGTTAGGCCATTTGAGACTCTTCTTCAATGGTGTTTGGCCATTTGAGACAAGAACAAGATTGGGATGGTCAGAATGGTGAAGATAAAACGGGGTGGTGCTACCATCGGAAGAAGAGTCTCCCATGGTGTTAGGCCATTTGATGTTGGTGATATTGTCTGAAATTTGATCAATAATTATGTGTGGGTTGTCTGGTTTTCGATGCTTGAACGAGAGATTGCAAATTTTGGCATAATGTTAGAAACAATGTGATACATTGTGGGCGTTTTCGCATTGCTGGGATAGAGGTTCATCATCACTTCTCTCGTTGATTAAAATCGTACCCACCAGTTATGTACTTGTTCTAGTTATAGGAAATTTGGTTTGTATTCACCTACGAATTATGACACTTATTATATGGATGGGCACTATAGAGTGGTACATTGAATGTCGATAGAAAAGGGAGAATGATCTTATTTGTAAATGGGTGTGCTCTTTGCGCTCTTCATTCTCATCCTGATCTCCGAGTGCAGGAGAGATGTGGGGGAGCGACAATAGTGCTCCCCTTTGCTAATTATAGAAGTGAATGAAGATTTGATGTATTTCAGACTAGAATTATGATCACTATGAAGTTTTAATTTGAGGCTTTATTCAGCTAATATGATTGGATTCAGTGGAAACAAAGTAGAGAGTACCTGAAGTAATTCTTCTTCACGAATTGTTGAAAGAGCTCTGGTATATTCAAGTATTTGACGAGTTGTGTGTGCAGATTGATTGTGCTTTTCTAGGATATCTGTTTTGGAAGGTTATAATATTTCCGTTGTTCCTGCTACTCCATCACATAAGACAAACGGATTGTCAAATTTCTGAAAATTGCTATTATGCATTCCTTCTTTTAGGTCTCCACTATCTATATTTATGACTGGTCAGTGGTTCTATTTTCTTCATAATGCTTCTAGTATTTTTATATTCTATTTTTAGACAAGGTACCAGCATATTTCATGGTTTAGAGAATCACAGATGATGTTTGTTTTGGTGATAGGGAATTATTCGAAAAAAAAATGTCAGGGAGACGAAAAATACCATCATCTTTTGAGCGACGTCCCATTCAATCTCCAGGTATGATGCGGCATGGTCCATTGCCCGGGTTAGGGCCTACTACTGGCCACCAATCATTTGAGTCGCTACCCCATCCTGAACTATTGGAAAATAAAATTGCATATCAAGCAGCAGAGATAAAACAACTGGCAGGAGACAATAATAGATTGGCAGCTTCTCATGTGGATTTAAGGCGGGATCTTGTAGCTGCAGAGGAGGATGTAGAAAGACTTAAGGCACACATGAGAAGCATCCAGACTGAGAGTGACATTCAGATCCGGGTTTTGCTTGATAAGATTGCAAAACGGGAAGCAGACATAAAGGCTGGTGAGGGTGTGAAGAAGGAATTGCAAAGGGCTCACATGGAAGCACAGAGCTTGTTTATAGCACGACAAGAGCTGACCATTAAAATTCAACAGGCCAAAGAGGAATTGCAGAAGGCTCGACTGGATGTTCAGAAACTACCAGATTTGAATGCTGAACTTGACAGCTTGAGGGAAGAACACCAGAGGCTGCGGTGAGTCATTTAAGTTGTGCACCTTACTTTCAAGTCTATTTGCCTATATCATAGTGATACCCATAGACTTTCATGCATGCCTTTATCGACAATTATTGCCACTATGCTGATATAAACTTACAAAAAAAAGGGTGGCAATTTCTTTTCTATTTTTAATTTCAGAAATAGGACTCTTAAGTATGTTTGTTCCCTTAGTGATGGATTAGTCACATTATACAGAATGTAATGGCATATTCCCAATCTGTTTTGAGTGGTTCCATATTTTCATTTCATTGTGTTATTAGAGATTCAACCAAATTAGCTGAATGATTCGCCCAAAATATATTTTCTCGATTAAAGTTCACAGTTCCTGTGTTTCATTTTTCATTTTTTCATATCATTTGGGATGGGCTCTGAGGTTTCAACTTGATCTCCTGATTCTCTAAAGCTGTTGTGTGTACAAAACAGTTCTACTTTTGAATATGAGAAGGGTTTAAACATAGAGCAAGTTGTGCAAATGAAAGCAATGGAGAAGAAGCTAATTGGGATGGCTAGAGAAGTAGAAAGGTTGCGTGACGAGGTCCTGAATTCCGAGAAAAGAGAACATGGTAACTTTCATGCCTGTCTATATCGTATTGATAACAGTTAAAGATTTCTTTAGATGATCATCGTTCTGATACTTTTGCTAATTATTTTAGCACCAAACACACATACTGGTGGTTACACAAATCCACATTCGCATTTCCCACATAATATCCAAGGTGGTAGTGCGAATTTTGATGGTTATGGGAGGCCTTATGTTTCTTTCGGTATTCGGCCACCAGGAGATGGAACAGTTCCATATGGCAGCAGCAGCTACGTAGCTGCTGGTGTAGGTGTCCCAACTGCTGCTGCTGGTGCTATTTGGGGAGCAGCTTATGATCCCTCGCTTGATGCAGCTGCCCCTAGCTCTGGGGTTGGTGCTGTTTGGAAAGGTGCATATGATTCTGCGCTTTCACAATAGTGTATACTGGACAAGACCTTTGGTTACCAGGGCATAAGGCGGAAGTTTAGTGCGGGTCGTAGGATTGAAGGGATTATTTTCTTCTTTTGGTTTGTGTAGTAAGTTGAATGATACTTTTGCCATAGAGAATTATCGAGTATCGGTAGTGATAGGTGTAGTAGAAAAATTGTACAAGTTGTCTAATGAACAAGCCATTTATTTTTCAATCTTTACAGTGATAACGATGATTTAGGTGTAAATATATAGATATTGATTGTAAACAGAATTACTCTTATTCTTATTAGAAACTTAGAAACTCCAAGGAAGGTAAAGCAACCAAGCCTAACTTGGGGAATAAGCATCCGCTAACTGTGTGCTAGCACCCGCGGAAATATAGAGGATGCAAGCATTATCTGGAATGATTGGGCGTAAAGTATCTGTAGGTGGCTTTTTAAGTCTGCCGTTTGAAGGATAAATTTGTGAAAACAAGTTCATTTGAGCAACATTTATGCATGCAATTAACAATTAAAGGTGGAATCATGCTTATATGCACTTAAAAAAACAAAACTTCACCCATGAAATTCAAGGCCTAGTAGTTGTGGTGAACCAAGACTCAACTCAAATCTTAAAGAAAATAGTTGAGAAACTTTTATACCTTTGAAGCACCTCTTTGCTTAGCAAAAGATATTTATTCATGTGAGGGCCTTCTTTTCTTAGTCTCCTTACTCGTTGGCTCCATGGATGTGGATGGAAGAACTTTGATTCTTGGCTCCATGACTTCTTGGATATGGATGAAGGAATTAATTCTCCAAGTTCCCAAGAAAGGGAATCTCTAAGTTTCCACATCAAGGAGAGCATTGAGGTGGAGATGAGTGACCTAAGAAGAGATGGATGCTAGTCCATTCTTCCTAGGGTGGTCGGCCTCCGAAGAGAAGAGAGAGTTTTTTGTGTTTTTCTCTCTAGAAAACCCTTATAAGAGAATGGGTTATAATTTCCTTTCTATAGCCACTTACATTGAGTGGTATAATTGAAATTAAAATCAATTCTCCCTCACACTCTCTATGACCGGCCATGTGGGTTCCTTGGGCTTTCATGCCCTTTGTGTTTTCAAGTTGTCATACAATTTGAGTTATTGGACTTGACATTCGAAGCCCATTGAGCCTTGAGACCCAAAACTAACCTGAAAACTAAAACGAACTTATTCGTTTGATTAATTAACATATTAATTAATCCTAGCTATAAATAATTAAATCATTTAATTATCTTTACTCATCTTCATTGTTTCTTCAATCTCTACCTTACACGGTGTACAATCTATTAGGTTCCTTTTAGCGACGAAATGGGCGATTAGAACTCTTCAAATCGATTGTGAATTGAAACTTACTTTTCGATTCTCCCTTTAGTGATTATACACCTCTAGGGCTTCCACAAATGAGTGACACCTAAAAGTTTGTCATGGCTACCCAAGCTAATCAGAAGAGGTGGATAACCTATTCAGTTTGGGATTACAATGCAATACAGTTTTTCTCTAACACAATACTCTTGACCACATTGTTTGATTTGATAGTTTATTCATGTCTACTATCCAATGTGATTCTCTTACTTATATGATTACCTTGAATGTGATTTGGAACGAATTCTTAAATCTCATTCATACTCTGGCTAGAGATTCTTAATCATATCATAAAGTATTCTCCCTTAAACGGTTTGAAGGTTAGAGATCCCTTGTTGTGCATTCACTTGCCTCCATGCTATGTGGCTTAACCCCAACTATGTTGTAGACACCGTTTGACGGAGTGACTTTGACATAGTCAAAGATCAAGGACCTAACCACAAGACAACTATGGTGCCTCAGGTCAAAAGACTACTTTGCATTATCCCAACCATGAGTTTTCATGTGACATGAGTATGAGAACTCTTTGTTGATCGCGTTCAGTAAACTCATTCTCTATTGAGCACCTACATGCTTGTCTTGGAGTCAGTCACACCAATGAATTGAAACCAATCACTTTCTCTAAGAGAAGACATAGCACGTACTGATATTAACGGATTGTCAATGCCCAATTGACAATCCTATGATCAGGAACGTTTAGGATAGTATGCGAAACAAAATGGTCTCATGAATCTAACTTCTTTAGATCACATTCTTCCAATTACATATTCCTTGGACTTATCGTTTAAGCATATAACATTTATATGAGACAACTTTAAACAATAATTGTTGCCCTTTATAATAAACTAGATTAGTTAAACATGTGAAATGTTCGTAAAGTATTATCATATAATTAGCTTTTAGAGCACATTTCCAACACCGTCAAATCCCAAAGTGATCTTATGAGTAACCAAAAAGAAGATTTATCCTCCATAGCCCTCCAACATTGATGCTAAGAATAAGAAAGAAACCCTTCTTTGCAAGTGTTGCAGTTGTAGCATAAGATGGTTGGATCATTCTTCCATGCATCGCAATCTCTGCCGTGCAGATACATAAGATTTTCAGCTCCATCTTCCTTCTCCCAAAATGTTGCATTTACGTACTTCATTCCACATAGTGTTGGTGGCTTGCAACATCCAGACTATGAAAACAACAGAATTCAAACTAAAAATCAAATGCATTGTACGTAATCATTAACTCAGAAACGAACAAAACGAGCACGAGGTTTGTAGCTCAAGCGTATTGCTTACCAAGAAAGTGAATATCAAGCCAATGCTTATTCCGGATTGAAGTTTTTGCAACCATAGAAGATCTTCAGTCACACAATCGAATGCCGAGTAATCCAGACCACTTCTTTCCTTGAACTACTGGCTTGTCTGTCATGTCTGTACGTATTTCAACCTTCAGCTGCTTGATCACTTGCGCTCTTTAAACTCTTATCGCGTTCTCAAAGAAATTGGCATTCTCTGTTAGGGTTAGGCTCTTAGCTAGCTAGCATTGCCACTATAGTAGAAAAGGGTTAGGCTACTTCTTCTTCTTCTTTTCTGCAGCATTCTAAGTGACTACTAAGTCAAAGTAGAACTTCAACTTTTGTTGATACAAATTTTCTATTCAAAGGAGATAAAGAAGATAGTTAGATAGGAGAGATGTAATACTATGACTAATGCTAATGCTCAAAATTTGCAAGTTAACAAATTAAAATACTAAATCCTTAGAGGGCTCGGGATATGAATGGACTCAAAGGTTTAAGTGGTTCACCCCTTAAAATAGGGCTACATCCACTGCTTTGCTCAAATTATATTGATTTGAAGACTAAAAATAACGCTCAGCTAATACATGCACTGTCTCTCTCTTTTCAGTCGTCCGACCCAGATACAGGAGGTTCCCACCCTTTTATATAGGCCCTCAATGAACCTTTCAGCCTTAGGTTTTCCCAATTTGGCATTTAATGTGCCACATATGTTGGCTATCATGCTAACACCTTTCCACCTATCAACCAAACATTTGGTGGTGAAGTGACATATATTCAACCAAAATGATGCATTATGTCAAAGTGATGCAGGTCGAGCATCTCGCTAGGCTTTGGTTATCCAACCCTGCCTCTCCGAGTGCCGTATCGACCGCCTTTACGTCCCATCTTAGATTGATGCCACTAATTGAGGGCCGCCACGTGGCTTGATTGACATTTGGATAAACTTATTCCTAGAGACTTGTGCCACAAAGCTGTCAGTCTGCCCATGTGTTTTTGGCAGTCGGAAAGCTATTTACAATCCTGGTCGGGTTCAACTTGTAGGCGGTTGGCTATAGCGCTCAGGGGTATGATCGGATCATATTTATATATATTTTTACTTCGAATTCACTCGTCTTTTCTTAGTTAGTTCCTTACATTTTTGAGCTATTTACGTTATTTTTGTGTTTATAGGATTTGTTATGCAAAGAAAATAAAAATAGCACAAATGAGTTTTAAATAATAAATTCGTCGAAAATTGCTTTAGTCGTTCTCATTCTGTCATGGATTATTGGTAGAATTATGTCACGGCATAAACAAAAGAAATGGGGAGAGTCGGTCAAAGAGGGAGCAAGAGAGCATCATGATTTATATTTTTTTTACCTCGTTGACTCCCATATTCTTCACTTCTGAAAACAACAGGAAGCTGCTTTGCAGCTGGAAAGGAAGGAATCCAAGGTGGAAACGTGAGGAGGTGGAAGGCAGATGCTGCTTTGGCAGCTGGGGGGCGCATAAAATAATAGGAAAAGCAGCACTTGGCTGCTGGCGGGAGAGAAAGACAAACCAGCAGAAACGGAAAGAAATAATAAAAGAAAGAAGAGCAGGACACGCGGAAAGAAAAAGAAAGACAGAAAATAAAGAAGAGGGAAGTGAGGACTTGCGGAGGGTGGAAAAGAGAAGGCAGCCTTGCTGCCAGAAAAAAAAAAAAGAGGAAATAAAAAAATAGAAGAGAGAGGAGAGACAGCAGCGTGAGAGAGTGAGGGAGCTGCCCTTTTGGGCAGCGTGAAGACAGACAGAAAATAGAAAATAACAGAAGAGGGAGACAGAGGAGACGTGGGGGGACTGAAGGCTGCCTTGCAGCGTGGGAAAGTAGAACGGGAAAAGAAAAGAATAGAGTACGGGCAGGTCAACAAGAACGGACAGAGAGCAGGGAAGGAGAAACGGGCAGAAAGCAGCAGATCCTCTTTCGGTTTAATTTTTCCAAACTTCTCTTTTATTTCTGTTTTTAATAATGTGTAATTAAATTTATGTTGGCTAGAGGTTAATTCAAAGCCATGATTATATTTGTAATATGAATTGATTACCTTCAGTTGTGATTTCATAAGTTGTGAATTCAATTTACTTATCCGTTCGTATAAAAACTGATTTGTGTATGTTGGTTGAGAGTGCACGCTTAATTTACATGCATGAATTTGATGCTAGAATATAAGTGAATTTCACCTAATCGTTATGAACTTATTTTCACAAGTAGTAAAGGTTGCTAGTCACAATCACGTTAAGTAAATTCTTGGCAAGAGTATCATGCTTTTCATAGTTACGAATGCCTCGTCAATGCTTATAGTTTTCACAAAGTTTAATGATCTTTGATTGTATCTCTATTGTGCTTTTCACGTAGGGGACTTTTGAAGAATGTTTTTGAATTGTTGTATGCGTTTTCCCGTCCAATTCAATAACTTAAGGAAAACTTGAAGATTAAAAAAGTGCTGTTCACGGTTAATCTGGAGTTTTGAGATTCACAATTTATTGAAAGAACAACTGAAAATCAATTTAGGTTGCATATGTGTCATGTGTGGAGAAGAACCCTCTAGCTAGTCCGTCATTTATCATTTTACCTTAATTTTATGTTTTTGTCAATTCTGTAATTTAGTTAAGTTTAATTTACTTTTCATCAAAACCAAACACCCATCCATTATTAAATTATATTATTTATTTAGTTTTCTTTATTGTTAGTCTTTTAATTTAATTTCCATCCATTGCAGTTCCTAGTGTCTAATTTGATTGTTTTCATTATTTTGAGTTATCCTAAGTGTGTTTCGAGTTATTAGAGTTTTTAGCCTAGTTTTGTGTCCTTGAGTCTTATTTAATATTTTTAAATTAATTTAGAATAGATTAGCAATCCCTCCTAATCCCCGGCCTAGAACGATACCCTACTTACATCTATACTACAATTGTCAAAAAGAGGGTTTAATTTGTGTGTCAAGAAATTCACGCATCAGGGTATCCTCTTCTAAGCTCCTTGGTCCTTGGGCTTCTCAATCTCCCTTGGGCTTTTCTTAGCTTCCTTTCCAGCTTGCACCATTATATGGGCCTAAAAGTTTCCCATGTTATCAACTAACTGATTTTATTGTTCACATGTAGTCATAATTCTAACTAACACTAAATAAATAAATACAAGCTAAAAAAATAGTAAATTGGTTAACTGGTGGTTGTTCGACATTCTTAAATATATTTCCATCTATGTTTTAAAGTTTTGCATCCAAGATTTCCAACTATACGTGGATGTTAATATTGTAGATTGATGTCATGTCATCCCTACTCAATGGTCATCATGAGTAATTAAACCATGTTTAAGTTGGTAGCTCCAATTATGTCCTACACTACATCACGAACTACTTTCTATTGCAGCAAATAAATGCTATAGAAATTACAATGGAAGAATCCACGAATTAAATAAGTTTTTGTTAGATCCCTTAGAATTTATAACAAACAATGAATCCAATTTTTGTATTTTTCTGTGTTAGAAGGGCCAATGGTGGGAAGTATCATGTGTTGGCAGGGAATGCCAAATATGTTCTTGCAATTCAATTATCAACAGTGGATTCTGACAGTGCTTTTAGCCATAATTCATTTTACTAGTTCTCTAATTTATATCTACTATTCTATAAAATTATGTCACTTATTTTATTCTTTGTGACTATTATGTAGAGTTGGCTAATGCAGGTGCCACCAACAATAAACCAATAAAATTATTTATATTTTCTTCTTTCTGATTATCTCAAATCTCAATTCTTTGGTGATGACTTAAGAATGAAGGGAGCATAGCGACCGTGTCACATCCCGGCGCAGGTCCCATCACATCTCAGGCTCGACTCCGCCATAACACGATATTTTCTGCTTTGAGTCTCGACCACGCCCTCATGGTTTTGTTTCTTGGAACTCACACGAGAACTTCCCAGAGGGTCACCCATCCTAGGATTGCTCTCGCGCGAACTTGCTTAACTTCAGAGTTCTGATGGAACCCAAAGCCAGTGAGCTGCCAAAATGGCTCGTGCTAGGTAGAAATGAAAATATACATATAAGGCTTATAGGATCCTCACCCATGGGCGATGTGGGATCTTACAATCCACCCCCTTTAAGGGCCCGACGTCCTTATCGGGACACTTCCGACCATGGATTGGCTCTGATACCAAATGTCACATCCCGGCCCGGACCTCCACCACATCTCAGGCTCGACTCCGTTGTAGCACGATATTGTCCGCTTTGGACCCCGACCAAGCCCTCACGATTTTGTTTCTAGGAACTCACACGAGAACTTCCCAATGGGTCACCCATCTTGGGATTGCTTTCACGCGAACTCGCTTAACTTCGGAGTTTCGATGGAACCCGAAGTCAGTGAGCTCCCAAAATGCCTCATGCTAGGTAGAGCTGAGAATATACATATAAGGATTACAGGATCCTCACCCCTTTGCAATGTGGGATCTTACAGACTGCATTGGGTTTCAATCCCCTAAACCTCCGGAGGGGCTACTATGAAATGATTAGTACCGCTGCCTTTCTAGGAGAGGTACTAGGATATCAGATAGGGATTTTACCACCTGTAAAAGTAGGGATAAAAACACTTAAAATACTTCCAAGAGTGCAAGGTAATTGTAGTATAGATGGCTCTAGCAAGGTAGTTCTCCACAGGGATTGAATGAATAATCTATGTTAAATCAAATCTTAATTAATTATTTAAAACAAAGTTTTAGAAAAAGTTGATTTTATGATTTAAAATAATAAAAACGAATTTAATAGAAAATAATTAAATAAAGTGCCAAAATAAAATGAACTAAAAGAAAGCAGTTTTTGAAAATTAAAATTGTAAAAGCCTAGGGTTCTGCCGTCACCTTAACAATTATATATAGTTCTTTCAATTACTTATGAATTACCCATGCATATGTTTGAAGGTTAGGTTTTCCTAATATATATCCTACTTGGAACCTCTAACATAGAACGTATATCTAACATGCAACCCGTCCGGACGTTCGGATCAAATATGAACATGAAAGACTCATTATGCTTTATGAAAACCCTTTGAAAAACCATGCAACCCTTAAGACGTGGTGTTTGTGACGACCCGTCCCTAATTTTCCTATGTAATTTCTTCCTGAGTATGTGTATTGACGGTTATGCCCTTATTGGCAAGTGACGTGGATGTATTCTTATCACTTTCATTTTATTTCTCGCTATCACATTTAAATTGTACATGTTGTTACGAATGTACGTAAATTTTATCAGTGTGAAAATCCTGTTCTGGGTAGGTTTTCGATACCTTTTATGTACAAAATCCAAAAATCCTATCCCTAGCTTTTCTTAGCCATCCCGTACACCCTCCTCCATTATCTCACACTCTCACCAATCCCATCTATTCCCTCATTTATGTCACCTAATCAGAAAAAGGAAAAAGGGACTCTTTCCCTTTTCCTTTTCTCTCTCTCCCATATACTTTCTTCTTCTGTGCAAACCCTCAACGAGCTTCAAAGCTCACAGATCGAACCCAAGAACCTCGTTTTCGTGTTCGTCTCATCCTCACGAACACAACCATGTTCTTAAAGCCTAGAATGGACGAATTTTCAACGTCGAACTCGTGAGGTCCGAACTCGGGCAAACTGAGTTCGACGTGTTTTCGAGTGAGTTAAGGTGTTTTGAAGCTTGGGAAAGCTTCTATGAAACTCCTCGAGGCTCTTACAACAATTTGGGAGAAGTTTGGAAGTGAAATGATCGAGTTTCAAAGAGTTCACTTTTGACCGGAACTTTTGAGGCTTTTTCCAGCGAAATCCATCCACTTTTTGGACTCAAAACAGGTATAACATGATTCTAATCTTCACTAGCTTCAAATCCATATAAAGTACGTTGAAACTGGTTGAGAATTGAAGGAGAATAGTGTGTTTGAAATTTTCCCAGAAATCTGATGAAAAACCTAGTTGCAAACGACGACGGATGACGGTGAAGGCAGGGCTCACGGGAGAAGGAGACGGAATATTCTGTCAGAGTTGATGGAATATTCCTGACGGTGTCAGGTAATGCCGTTAAACTCTGTTAGCCTTTAACGGAATATTCCTAACAGCGTCAGGTCCACGGACGGCACTGGTTTGCGTGTGGGGCGTGTCTGGTCGTGCCCTGGATGGCGCGTGAGCCATCCAAAATTTTTTCTGAAAACATTGGGATGTTCGTGACGTCGAGTAGGTCACAATGGTATATTTAAACCCTAGGTTTGAGCAAACTAGGGGGTTTATTTAGGTTTCTATATATGTGCTCTAAATAATTTTATTTTAGTTATTTCACATTTAGGGGAAACGTATCCCGAGGACGTTTAAGGCCAAGCTAGGCTCGGGGGTTACGACCCAATGACGTACTTGTGAGTGGGTAGTTTTTTTATTTTTTATATCTATACATATTTATAGTTTCCAAATTTCATAAATACACCACTTTGCGTATATATTGCCAAATAATTGATAACTGCGATATAATTCTGATAAATGTTGCTATATGGTTGAGATATTACTGTCATGGCATTCATACATATCTGTGCATGCTCATCTTGATGCACCCCGGTGTTAATACTCGCCCTAAGGCTAGGGCCAGGGCCAGGGCCAGTCCTTCACGTGTATGTTCACATCGCACCGTTCGCTCTCCTTGGATCCAAGTTAGGTGCTAGTCCTGTTAGGTAGATTGCATTAGACAATCCGACTTGTATGTGATGTGCTTCTGCACCAGTCTTCACGTGATCGTAGTACTAAAGCATATTGATTACAGCCAGTCCTGTTCGTGTCAGAAATTATCTGTTTGAACTCGTGTGTCAGCTTAGATGGATGAGTACTTAGTTATACTTGATTATCAAATGATTATATTATTGTGGCATTTGATGCATCATGATTTGGCATATTTCTGGTTATAATACTGTTATATTATTGTTGTTTTATTGTTAACATATTTACGTAGTATGTTTTAAGGAAACTATACTTGTTTTACGGCGAAGGTTTAGTATATTCAAAAATAAAAGATTTTCCCTTAAGCATTGTTTTACTGACCCACTCAACTTTGTTTTTCGCTCCTCCAGGACCTAGATAGTTGTACTCTTTGTGGCACTCGAGGAATCTTGGCAGTTCTGACATTCTCTTCTGATTAGACGTATGAACTTATCACTATTGTGTAATAAGTGTACTTTAGTTACTTTGACTACTCTTTTGTAGTCTCACTGTCTATTACGCTCTGAATAATGGTAGTGGGTTCATCCAACGATTGCACACTCTTTCCCTTTCATTATTTAGTATATCTAGTTATAATTAGTTTTAAATTTATTCAGTTTTTCACTTTACTTACCCTTATGGTTACGTCACCTCACAGTGATGGCCAACATGCTTCGACCTTTCTAGGTCGGGGCGTGTCAGTTTGGTATCAGAGCCAATCCTTGGCCGTAAGTGTGCCGACTACGACGTCGGGCCCCTAGGGGGGTGAATTGTGACATCCCACATCACCCAGGGGAGTGGATCCTGTAAGCCTTATATGTATATTCCCACCTCTTCCTAGCACGAGGCCTTTTGGGAGCTCACTGGCTTCGAGTTCCTTCGGAACTTCGAAGTTAAGCGAGTTCGTGTGAGAGCAATCCCATGATGGGTGACCCACTGGGAAGTTCTCGTGTGAGTTCTCAGAAATAAAACTGTGAGGGCATGGTCGGGGCCCAAAGAGGACAATATCGTATTACGGCGGAGTCGAGTTTGGGATGTGGTAAGGGCCCGGGCCGGGATATGACAATGTTCATCCTAAGTGAAATTACAATTATTAACCACAAGAAACCATCGCCAATTTCAGGGAACGTTCTGACCAAAATTGCATCAAATTACTTTTCTAAATATTCTAATGGTCGCGAATCACTAAGACATTTAGATAGTTTAAAACGATGATTAATAATTCAAAACATGCATGTATAATATCATATGTAAATTGAAAAGAAACTACATATTCTTGCTAAGGCTCGTGGCCTCACCCTAGCAAACAAGATTAGTTACTAACAACCATAAACAAAATATTATTAAAAACAATGATAGAAAACACCTTGAAAATAAACTTAAAAAACCCTCTAAAGTAGTGCGTGTGTTTCCTCCACTCTTCTCCTCCTTAACCCTAATGGCTAAATATTTTATTTATACTACTACAAAATAAAACCCTAAAAGGTCTTAGAATAAAACTAGGAAACATAATAAAATAATAAAATAGAAAATAAAAGGTTTCCTATTTGAACTAAAATTCAGACTTCTCAGAAAATCATACTTTTAACTGACCAAATCAACTCCAATTTGGTCCCAAAAGGTCTCTTTTGAAAGCTGAAGACGTCCCCTACAAATCCTCAGAGGAATCTTCATCAAAATATGCCATCTTGGTTTCCAAAATACCCAAAACATCCAGAAACGTCAATCTGGCAAAGCTGTGCGCTAGGCCTTTATTTCATCACCACAGTCAAACGGCTTGGTAGAAAAATCTGGAATTTTGAAATAATCATCTTGAAGGCACACGAACATCCTCCAATTGGAATCACTTCAAAATTCATCCGTTTGATCACTTTTTGCTCTAGAGGAAGTAGAATGTCCTACATTAAAAATATAAATCAAAGTATCAAAATTCTACCAAAATAACAAATAAATTAATACCAAGAATAAAGTAAAATATATAGGAAAATATCGACTCATCAAATACCCCCAAACTTAGCTTTTTGCTTGTCCTCAAGCAAAACAAAACTAGAAAACAAAAATAAAAACTAACAAACTAGAAACTTTATTAAAACTCAACTAAGACAAAATTTTCATCTTCAAGTTGCAATCCATAGAACACGTTAAAAATCAGAACATCTTTCCAATAGTTCCAACTAATCCCACCACAGAGTCTAAAGCCATTAGAATCAATTAGAAAATAAGTCATGAACTTCCTTTGGTGTAAAGTGAACCAACATAACTAAGGAGACTCGACTAAAACTCTTACCTTTTGTCATTTTTATTCCACACATACTAACTTTATATGTATTTTTTCTTTTCACTTTTTTTTCTCCTTTTTTCTTTTTTTTAATAACAGTAGTGGTTGTGCAATGTCAGTTCCCTTAACCTTTCTATCCAACCCATGTAGTGAGCTTTAGGTCAATGACTCCCAAACCACAAAGGCTTTAAGGCACTAGGTGTATAACCCCCAACGACTTATTAACTCGAGCTGAAAAGGCTTCGAAACCAATTAGCCACCCTGCCCCATGCCAAGACTCTACCGTTTGACGCGAGAATCACTGTTGATCAAGCATTACTGACCCCGTTACTAGGTAAAGTCTCGGGTGGAACAATTATTACTTTATTCATAACAAGAACTCAACTTTACTTTAAAACAAAAATTAAAAATAAACTTAGACTAAAAGTAAGGTTTCAATCTCACACCCCACAAACCATGTTGATGTGAATGTGCTAATTTTCAAATTATAACTCCTGAATTAGTGCTTAAGCAACAATAAATAGAAAAGACTCTAATGTGAGATTAATCTTCACCATGTCCATTTGTTCTAACGTTTAAAATAATCTATGGATATTAACTTAAAAAGAATGAAATTTTCTTAACGGACTCAAGAATGAAAAGCCTAAAAATCTATTTCCCACCCCCAAACTTAAATCACACATTGTCCTCAAAGTGTGGAAAAAAAAAACATGAAAATAACTCATAAAAAGAACTCAAATGACTAAGACTACCTAAGTAAACTAATAAAAAGTTAAAATAAATAAACAAACAAAAAGAAAACAAGCAAATAACAAAATTTAAATAGAAAAATAAAGAAAGAAAAGGAAAACAGAAATACCTGGATTCAAAGTGGTGATCTGATGCATGAAAATCATGGGGCCTTGATATGTGGACATGTGCTAAACAATCTGAGGTAAAGCAATGGGTCATGAGTGAGCCCAATCCAGTGAAAAATGGATCAACCCAACGGGTTTCAGCTGCAAGTGCACACGCGCCCCATAATAACAACTAGAATACCCCCCTTTCATTTCCCATTTCTCATTTCGAGCTTCGAAACCCCCAACCGCTTCTCACTCATCCACCATTTATGCAAATCTTGCCTTTTCGCTTCTTTTGGGCAAACAACCCATAAACGGATCTATAAGTGCAAAAAGGTAAACAACGTCATTTTCTTAGTCATCGCCGTTTCCAGTTTCCTTTTTTATAAGAAAATAGAGGAAACCCTCATAGATGTGTGCTTTCTATGTAGAAATCCTAAAAGCCACAGTGATAACACAGATGAAGAACACGAAGCACAACAAACCGGAGATCTAGAGGACAAGAGCCTAGTAAATTTCACAAGATCCTCAGGTTCAAAGTTAAAAAGGTATAAAACATGCTCCCTTCACTGCATTAGCTGAGAGTAGTTCATAGCATTAGGATGATGGCTCACATCAAACTCTAATAATTGTCTATAGTTTGCCTTTGTGAATTTTGTACGTGCATGCATCCATTGATCTACTATACTTATGCCATGTATTTGTTGTGCTTGCATGCCTCCATTAGATGAATGTTTAAGGAAAACATAGCAAAAATCTGGATCTAAGTGCTGGAGTTGACAAATGCCTTCCTTTGTGTTGCATGGTCCACCCCCAAACTTGAATGTAATGGAATTTGTAAGTGAGAAAGAGTGAGCAATGTTTCCAAACAGGGCAGAGAGTAGCACATTAAACCCCCATTGTGAGTATTTCAGAATTGATTTTCATTTGTTGAGGTCTAATGAATGTGGTTGAATGAATGCTGCTGAAAGCATGTTTCAGTTGAATTTTGCACGCTTAATGGATATTTAAGGCCCTTCGAGTCCAAATGCAACCTGCAAAAACACAGATTAAAAAGCTAATTAGAAATTAATTTGACACACAAATTAAACCCTATTGATGACAATTGTAGCAAAGATGTAAGTAGAGATCGTTCTAGACCGGGGATTAACTAGGGATACTAATCAACACAAATAAGACTAAAAAACACTAAACTGGACTCTATAGACTCAAAACTGACTCAAAACACTCAAAACATCAACAAACAATAAAAAAGACTCAATTCTAGACCTAACAAGTGATTTGGACGAAAATAAAACTTAACTTGACTCAAAAGACTAAAAGAAAATAGATTATGACTCAACTAACAAGACTTAATGGATGGGGAATTGTTTTTGACGAATTTAAAACTTAAAACAGAAACTTTGCATAAAACACTTTATAAAAACGAATTTGGTGAATTGAAAGGGGTAAAAGGCTAGTTAGAGGGTCCTTCTCCACACATGACATATGCAAACAAACCAATTTCCAGTTATTATTCCTTTAAACCATGAATGACAACACCCCAAGTTAACCATGATAGCACAAATTAACCATCAGATTTTCCTTATTTCATTGAATTGGACGGGATACGCATCACAACCAAATTATCCTTCTCAAGTCCCCTAACTATGAAAAGCATGATAGAAAACATATCAAAGGTCATTAAGTTCTTTGAAAATCATAAGCATTGACGAGACATTCGTAACTATGAAAAGCATTATACTCCTGCCAAGAATTTACTTAACACAATCATGACTAGTGACTTCCACTACTTATGAATATAAATTCATAACGATTAGGTGAAACTCCCTTATAATCTAGCATCAAGTTTATGCATGCAAACTAAGTATGCATCCTCAATCAACATGCATAAACAAGTTTTAATAACTCAGATAAGTAAATCACATTCAAGACTCAAGAAACAATAAATGGATGTAATCAATTCATATAAAGCATATAATCATGGCTTCGAATTCACCTCTAACTAAAAAGAAATTAGTTCCTCATGTTCGCAATTAAACAAAGATAACTTAAATTAGACATTGAAAATAAAAGATAGAAAACACATAAGAGCGCTCCAGCAATCCAATGTTGAATTCAAGGCACGACAAAGGGCTCCAAAGAATTCTCTCAATTGTATCTGAATATGTGGGTGTGTGGTGTAGGAAAATATGGTAGAGGGTGGTGATAAATATGTATTCATAGGCCTAGGGTACGGCACAAAGGTTGTAGAGGAGAAGGATTTGCATAGCAATTTCCTAGAGGGAAAAGAATTAATGTGTTTAGATGGATTGGGACTCCTAAATTCAAATGGGAAGGATTTAGAATAGGATAAGGACTCCTTTTCCAGCTGGAGATAAGTTTAGATATTGTTGGATTAAATAGGATAATGTTTGGATAATATGGGATAAGATAAGATAAGACTAGATAAGATAAGGTTGGATAAGGTTTTGGATAATGTTTCCTTCTTTTGAGCTGATTCCTTATCTTCGTTGCCTTGAATTTATTTTCTTCATCTTTTTAGCACATTCCTAGCCTCTTGAACTTCAAAAACATCCATCCACCTTACTCCATGCATGTGCTATCCATTCTTGGCCCAAAATTGCTCCAAAATGCACTTTCTTGCCAACTTTGTCATTTGGACCTACAAACACACGAAAATAGCTTAAAACACTAAAATAAGCACAAACTAATTATGAAAATACAAGAAAACAAGCTAACTAAGTCGCATAAATATGCTCCTATCAAATTCCCCCACACTTAACTTTTGCTAGTCCTCGAGCAAAACGAAACAAACAAAACAAACAAAACATAACCTAGATCTTCCAACGTTTGCCTCAGGGATTTCCAATAAACATGACATGTTAAAAATCACTACTCTCATAGATTTTAGTTATCCTTACCCTCGAGCACACACTTAATCACAGTCATCACTCACTAGTTCGCATTTAATCAATTAAAACAACATTTTAAATGTAGTAACATGCCTTAGAGAATTCCCTCAATTCCTCACCGGATATACACTCTATTTTCACACAGATTTTCTGACTACACTCCCTATACTAGGTATATGTGAGAAGATTGATGTAAACATGTAAACTAACACTCACATATATTATGATCAAAGAAGGCAATTTCTGGAATTATCAATGCATGTATATATATGATCTCATGAATGGAATGCTACTACTTAGACGCGAGAACCAGGGATACCATATGCTCATACCAATCCCAAACTCCACATTATTGAACACACAACACTCAAGATTAAAGTCTAAGGGTTGTAACGGGGCTAAGGGTATTGGCTAACAAAGAAAGGTAAGGATAAACAAAGGTTCTTAAAGTAATAGTAAGCAAAGTAATGAAATCAACTTAGAATTCACTCTTGAATGCAGTAAATAACTTGAAACACTAAGAGAATTTCATACATACTTAGGGTCATATTCAAACTTTTTGGACCCTTTCTTCAACAACCAATACTTGTGAGTTCTTTCTCACTTATTTTCACAACTTTTTTTGTCTTCTTTTCACGTTTTTTTTCTTCTTCTTTTTTTTCTTTCCACCCGTGTACATATCCTTCCCCTACACTTGATTTCTGCAATATGTTTGATCAAAAGGAATTCCCTCTAAGTCATGCTCCACTATACTTTAAGAACAAGGGTATGGATAGTCCTATTCTAGGCTAGGTAGGGATAATGTGGCTAACAAGGGAAATAGGCTAAATAAGGCTCAAAGGGGTTAAACCTACAAAACAAATGCATAGGATGAAGGCTTTTTAGCTCTGGTGGTAACTACTAAACAACTTCATCTTGTTATATGTTGTGCACTCAATTTTAAGCTTTGAATGAAATGGGCATGAGTTCTAGTATTTGGAACTGAAGTGATAAAAAGCATTCTAAGTAGCAACCATGCAAAAATAATGAGATTATGCAACGACTTTAGAAAACAAGAAATCACAGATTAATAACTCTCCAAATAAAGTTTAGGCTCAAGTCTCTCAGGGTTGTAGCGTTAGTTTGAGTTCATTCCTTCAAGCATGTTACAAAAACTGATTTTTTTTCCTTTGTGATTATATGTGAATTCGTTAATGACAACTACAACTAAGCATTAACCAAAGAGCATATCAAATTTCCACCCATGTTTGTAATTTTCTTTAACAGTCATGCAATTAAAAACCAAATCCTCATCATTGTGTTGGAAGATATCCTAAGACACAAACACACAAAAACGACTCTAAAATGACTCTTTTTGGGTTTTTCAAAACATTTTCTACTTTTGTTTTTCAAATTTTCATATTTTTCTTTCAAGACACACTAAACACTTCAAAACGCACTAAAAACACTTTAAAACAGTGAGAAACAACTCTAATGGTGCTAGGTGATAAAAACCCACGAATGTTCAATAGGCGCTTTTGGTTAACGTCTATAGCTAGACATAGATGAATGAATTGATGATCACGTCACTTGTTCTCTTAGAGTCAACCACTCCTTGATAGCATCATACGACAACATTAGGTATGAAATAAGATGATGTTTGTCAATTATGTGTTTCAGGGAAGTGGTTGAATCCTTCATATTAGCCCTTCTATGTTGATGAAATGTTGTAATAAACTAGGATCCCCTCCAGCTAGGTTTACATCTTCGTCAAACTAACTTACACCTTATATTTAACACCCACAATTTCTGCGTTGGCCGAATTTCTTGACGAAGAATTAGGTTGCCATTATGCTTTTTCTTTGTTTCCTTGTGGATCATAATCTGCTTGTATGACCTGCACTGAATACCGTTAAGTATGATTGGCTGTGTTGGTGCACTGTTCAATATAGCAACTAAAACTTTCCCATCACCAACCATTTTCCATGTATCCAAATCGTTTAGTTGGCCGAAAAGTTGACCATGTGACATGCTTAATGCTGCATTTTTGTGAGCCTCCCCCAACACATTAACACTGATGTCTTCTTGCAGGCTTTGTGGAAAAGGTGCTAGTGGCACATAAAACTGGGTAGCGATAAGTTCAGGTGGGATTTTAAGGTCAACTGTTTTCTCTTTTGGGCATGAATAACAGGCAGATGGCTCCTCTTGATCATTATAGCATCTGAAGGAAATTTTGTGAAAAACATGTTCATTTGAGCAACATCTATGGCATACAATTAACAATTAAAGGCGGAATCATGCTTGTATGCACTCAAAAACAAAACATTACCCATGAAATTCAAAGCCTAGTAGAAGGGTGAACCAAGACTCAACTCAAAACAAAGTGAGTTGAGAAACTTTATACCTTTGTTAATTCCTCTTTGCATAAGCAAAGGCTAATCACCCAAGTAGAGGGCCTTCATTCTTGCTTCTTAGCTCCATGTATTTCTTGGATGAGGATGGTTGAAAGGATTCTCCAAGTTCCCAAAGTTGAGAACCTCTAAGTCTCCACACCAAGGTAGGACTTGAAGAAGAGATGAGTGACCTAGAGGAAGTAAGATTGCTAGCTAAAATCCTCTAGGGTGGCCGGCCTCTTAGAGAGAAAAATGGAGCTTGTTTTCTCATCTTTTCTCTAAAAGAAACCCTAAGGATGAAATGGCTATAAAGTTGCCTTTATACTACCTCACAATGGAGTGGCAAACTTGCAATTAAGCCAAGTTCACTACCCCTCTCTATGGCCGGTTTTCCCAAGCCTTTGGGCTGTTTTGGGCTTCTGGAATTTTGTTTGTTAAGTTGTCATACAACTTAAGCTAATGGGCTTGACGATTCGAAGCCCAATTTGGGCTTTAAGGCCCAAAACTAACTCAAGGTTTAAAACGAACTTATTCATTTGATTAATTAACATATTAATTAATTCTTGCCATAAACATTTAAACCATTTAATTGTCCTTACTCATCTCTGTTG